GGACAGAGCAGCTCTTGGGTCATGGTGGGAGGACAGAGCAGCTCTTGGGTCATGGCAGGGGGACAGAGCAGCTCTCTCACCTCTAGTCCTGGCACTTGAGCACTGTGCTGCTCTGTGCTTGCTTTTGAAGTGTAGTAAACATGGTATTTAAAAGAATACATCTTTTAAATACACAGCTTTTCTATAAACAAGGACATGGCTTGCATAATAAACTAATAAAAATAACCTGCATTCTAGTCTGCAAAGAATGCGATTGGTTTCAAAACAAGCAGCATTTTATATGATAATTGAAAGCAGAAAACTCTCAAGACATGGGATTGAGTATTTTTCTTGGACTGAATGTAGGAGCTGAGAACACATCTCTATTTTGGGGGCAGTGACACCTCCTGACTGCCAGAGAGAATTTAACGTAGGCAGGGTCAGGGAAAGATCCAGCCTGGGACAGAATTAATGGAACAGTTTTGCTCCAGGGCCATGAACTCTGCTGCTCAGCATGGAGGCACTGCAGGGGAGGCAGCAGGAGGTGCTGGACCCCTTGGGCCATGCCCATGTTAGTGTGTGCCCCAATGGGCACCAGGGATGGGAGACAGAAGGCTGGGGCGGGCAGTGCCAGGCCCTGGGCACAGCTCTGTCTGTTTCAGTGCTGGGTCCCTGGGCACAGCTGGGGCTGTTTCAGAGCTGGGATGGGCAGTGCTGGGTCCTGGGCAGAGTTGGTGGGAGTTTCAGGCCTGGGGTGGCTCCCTGGGCACAGCTCTGGCTGTTTCAGGGCTGGGGTGGATCCCTGGGCAGAGCTGGTGGCTGTTTCAGGGCTGGTGTGGACAGTGGTGGCTGTTTCAGCTGTTGCCTGGGTCCTGGGCACAGCTGGTGGGTGTTTCAGGGCTGGGGTGGTCCCTGGGCACAGCTCTGGCTGTTTCAGGGCTGGGGTGGACAGTGCCAAGCCCTGGGCACAGCTGGTGGCTGTTTCAGGGCCGTTTCAGGGCTGGGGTAGACAGTGCTGGGTCCTTGGGCACAGCTCTGGCTGTTCTAGGGCAGTGCTGGGTCCCTGGGCACATCTCTGGCTGTTTCAGGGCTGGGATGGGCACAGCTTTGGCTGTTTCAGGGTCCTGCTCCTCAGCACAGCCATGTTGTGACCCTTGTGCCTGTCCTTGGCACAGCTCTGGCTCTATGGCATCCCTTACCAGTGTGCCAGGGCTTCAGGAGCCTTGCTGTGCCCCCATTCCTGCCCTTCCTGCTGCTGGCGCCAGTGGTTTGTGGGCACAGCTGGTGCTGCAGAGCCCAGCACTAACCAGGGCCTCTCTGCTGCTCTTGCAGTCAGCACGGAGCTGAGCCAGGGCTGTGCCAGGGGCTGTGACCTGTGCTCTGAGTTCAACGGGTGCCTGAGGTGCTCCCCCAAACTCTTCATCCTCCTGGAGCGCAATGACATCCGGCAGATCGGGATTTGCCTGCCCTCCTGTCCCCTGGGCTACTTCGGCCTTCGCAACACGGACATGAACAAGTGCATCAGTGAGTCTGGGGCTGGGGGAGGCTGTGGGCAGGGCAGGGGCTGCTGTGGTATTGGAATNGTGATTCAGTGATCCTGGGATTCTGGGATTCTGGGATTCTGTAACAGGGACTCATGGATGAGGCTGGAGCACACTTCTCCCTACACCACCATCTGCCAGCACCCCCAGTGCACCCCACACCCCCCATCTCACCCCCAGCCATTATGGGAGTGATGCTGTCTGTCAAATTAACCCATTTCTCCTCTTCTTTTGCAGTTCCTGCCAGCGCCCCTGGACACTGTGAGCCCTAACACCCACAGCTGAGCCCTGGACAGCGCTGGGGCCGAGCTCCTGCCCTGCTGACAGGGATGAAGGCAGAGCCATGTTCCCTGCTACCTGAGCTGCCTGCTGCTGCTGCAGCTCGTGGATATGGTGCCAGCCCTGGCTCTGTGCACAGACTCTCAGCTCTGAGGATTTAGGGGCAGCAGAGCCCCCAGCTGTGGAGCACGCTCCCCCAGCCACCCCAGCACGGAGGGGCTGCAGCTCTGGAGAGTTACTATGCAGCTTGGACTGCTTGTGGTGGTGGTTTTTCTGAGCTCCATGGATCCAACAGGCAGCAGCAAGGTGGTGAAGGGCAAGAGGCAAAGACGAAGTATGTATGAAATGCTTTTCTTCTCTACTTCTTCTCATGGTGTGAGTGTGTTTACAGCTGGGGCTGGGCAGGGCCTGTGGTGCCCCAAGAGCCTGCAGAGATCCCCAAATCCCTCTCACCATGTGCCCTGACCTGTCCCCTGATGTAAGAGCTGAAATGAAGGATGTGGGACTCCAGGCTGCTCTCCAAAATGCAGTTTATTGTATTCAAGAGGTTACAGCAGTCCAGGGTTGTGGGTGACAGAGTCTGTGCCCACAGCTGTCAGCTCCAGCTGCAGGCAGGCCTGGAGACCTTGAGGTTAGGTTACAGTGCATTCTATACTTTCCTTTAGGTCACAATCCATTCTATACTTTTCTTTGCTGAGCATCTCAATACAGTAGAACCAATCTATACCTTAACTTTTTTCTATAGCCTATTATAACTACTGTAATTACCATATTCCTGTTACTGTTCTCCAATCACTAAAAGTCAGTGCATTACAGTTTAAGCCAGAAGTTGGTTTTCAGTTTTCTTGCAGTAGAAAATTCTGAGACCATTTTTCTACTTGCAACATTGGCAATTTTATCTGCCTGTGCTTTCTGCTTGGTAAAAACATCTTTTTGTTTGGGGTGGGTTTATCCTTTGCTCTAAGCCATAAACCCCCTTTTAACTAACACCCCCTTTGCCTCCTTGGTGTTTCAGTAAGACTGGCTCAGCAATTCTTTTCTTCTATATCAAAACTTGCTTCCATCTCTATTCCTTCATCAGACTCTACATTTCAAAATCTTTCTGCCAAGCACACATATCTGTGAGACTTTCTTGTCAAACTTTCATCCTTCCCAACATCCCTGAGGCCATGGGGGGGTCAGTTCTGCCTCCAGCCCAGAGGGTCCCTGGAGGGGCTCGTGCAGGGCAGAATTGGCACCAGAGCAGCCAACTGCCCTCCTTTATGTAAGCTCATGTTAGAGCTGTTTTACATTAAAACTGGTTTAAATTAAATTATAGAAAATTGATTTTATATTAAAACTGGGACTGCCGAGCCCTGGGAGAACAAGGAAAACCTGACATCATGGCTAATTCTATAAAGGGCAATTCCCAATGGGAGCCCAGTTTATACCTTTGCCATGGAGGCAGAGCTTGGCACCAGAGTCCAGCGCTGCAGGAGGGATGGGGCTGGATCCCTGGGGGTCCCAATCCAGACCAGGGGACCCTCCTGGCAGGACCTCCAGGAGGTCTGGGGGCTGAGGACCTCCCTGCCTTTGGTGGCTTTTCCCAAGGCTGAAGCAGCCACAGGCCTGGAAAAGGGGCTGGGACAGGCAACAGGGGCTGGAAGCTCATGGCA